GAGTTGGAAGAGACCTCGTGGGCTATCCAGTCCAACCCAATTCTGCCAAGAAGCAGGGAAATTGCATTCAAAACACCCCTGACAGATGGCCATCCAGCCTTTGTTTCAAAGCCTCCCAAGAAGGAGCCTCCACCATGCCGACTAAAGAACTGCTACACCAGCTCAGGAGTTCTGGGCCATGGCGAGCTAAGTCTGGCATCACAGGTGGGATCAAACCGCATCAATTCTGCAGTGTGGATGCACCCAAAGGCAGCCTGCCAACATCATCATCATCACCACCATCATTCCTGCCCAGGTCTGGCAAAATCAAGACTTGACTCCATCAGTCATGTACATATAAGTCGCTTCAAGTCCCCATTGGGGAGATGGTGGAGGTGTATAAATAAAGTTTATTATTATTATTATTATTATTAATAATAATAATAATAATAATAATAATAATGCTTATTCTTAATGCTCCACTTTGACTATTTAAAAGACTTCTCATAAAAGTCAGATCATCTTAATCTTCTTCTTCATCATCATAATGCTTTAAAATTGACTACCGTATATTCCGGCATATAAGACGACTGGGCGTATAAGACGACCCCCAACTTTTCCAGTTAAAATATAGAGTTAAGACGACTCCCATGCATAAGACTACAGCCGCGTATAAGACGACCCCTGACTTTTGAGAAGATTTTCTTGGGTTAAAAAGTAGTCTTATACGCCAGAATATACTGTAAATATTTTCATAGAACCCTAGAGTTTAAAATGACCCCAAGGGACATCTCGGTATTGCCCATTAGTCCAAACAATCCAGCTCCAGGGATTGCCCATAAGTCCATAGCTGGAGTCGGACCCGATGTCCCTTGCGGACTCTTCCAATCAGGTGTACCTGCTTTTTAAACATCTCAAATATATATTTACATACATACATACATACATACATACATACATACAGTGGACTCTCAGTTAACCTGAACTCTCAAGCACCCAGCAACCCGAAGAGATAATGCACATTGCGTTCACAAAGCTGTTTTTATAATACCGCATGACTGTATTAGATTAAGCTATGCTGATCTTTGGCTTTGAGTGATTGCATTTCTATATGAATATCAAGTCAATGCAGAGTTCATGGTGTGGTATAGTTTTAACTTTCAAGCAACCAGAAACTCAATCTCTCTCTCTGGAAATATGTGTGTATGTTTGTACCTCAAAGGCATATACGGCTGAAATTGTCATGAAAACCCTTGACTGCAAGAGTTCTTGCAGAGTTGTTGAAGGGATCAATGGAGGACATCTAGTCTGATGATTCCCAAACCCTGATCTTCTTGCTGTTTTGGACTCCATTACCCAGAATCCTTGCTTCCTGGCCAAGGCAGCTGAGGCTTCTGGGAGTTGGAGTCCAAAAGGCCTGAAGTTGTGAAGTTTGGGAAAGCCTCCCTTGAACCATCTCCCTGGCAACACTCTGGCCCTTTTGGCATCTTCTTGTAGGCCCTGCCTTCTTCCCTTCCTCGCCTCTCCTCCAGAGGGAGCCTTTATAGACTGCCCTCTTGTGGTTGCATCTGTCACTGCATGCATAACAGAGGTTGATTTTTTTTTAAAAAAATTGAAATCCTTCCAGTACATTAATTTGGATCATGATGGGTCTGTGTACCAAGGCTGGTCCAGATCCATCAAGCCATGGAGGAACCTTTGAGGTACAAACATACACACATATTTCCATAGATAGATAGATTACAGCTAGCTAGCTAGCTAGACAGGTGATAGGTAGATAGATGATAGACGATCAATGATAGATAGACGATAGATAGATAATAGATAGACAGACAGATGCCAGATAGATGGATAGATGATAAATAGATGATAGATGATTGATTGATTGATAGATAGATTGATAGATAGATAGACAGACAGCTAGATGATAAATAAATGATAGATAGAATACAGCTAGATAGATAGACAGGCAGACAAACAGACGATAGATAGATGATAGATGATCAATGATAGATAGATGACAGATAGATAATAGATAGACAGATGATAGATAGATAGATGATAGATGAATAGATGAAAAATAGATGATAGATGATAGATAGATAGATAGATAGATAGATAGATAGACAGACAGATGATAGATAGCTGATAGATAAATGATAGATATAATGCTAGATTACAGCTAGCTAGATAGACAGAGGCAGATAGATAGATAGATAGATAGATAGATAGATAGATGATATATGATCAATGATAGATAGACAATAGATAGTAGATAGACAGATGATAGATGGATAGATGAAAATAGATGATAGATGATAGACAGACAGACAGACAGATATGATAGATATCTGATAGATAAATGATAGATAGAATGATAGATTACAGCTAGCTAGCTAGACAGACAGACAAACTGATGATAGATAGATGATAGATAGATGATAGATGATCAATGATAGACGATAGATAGATAATAGATAGATATATGATAGATTATAGATAGATGATGGATAGACAATACAGAGATAAATAGAAAGATAGGCAGACAGACAGATGATAGACAGATGATAGATGGATAGATGATGGATGGATGGATGGATAGATAGATAGATAGATAGATAGATAGATAGATAGATAGATAGATAGATGATTGATGATACATTACAGATAGATAGTTAGATAGATAGGTAGGTAGATAGATGATAGATAAATGATAGCTAAATAGACAGATAAACTATAGATAGATTATAGATAGATAGATAGATAGATAGATAGATAGATAGATAGATAGATAGATAGACAATAGATATCCATTCAGATGAAAGTAGCAGGGCAATTGTGTCCCTCTCCTTCGAAGGGCTCAAGAGCCGGGCACTCCAAAACTTTCTCTGGAGGAGATGGGAGGCCCAACTTCTTCTTTGTGGCCAATATAACAACAACAACAACTGGATTAAAACAGAGAGATCAAGCAAAACACTATTAGAATACATGCAACAGATGCATACATATAAGACACGGGCCAAGAGCCACCGTCTAGTTCATCCGGAGCTCCTACGCTCTTCCTGGTTGGCAAGCCCATAATCCACAGGGGGTGGGGAGTCGGACTGCAGCTCCCATTGGTCTCAGCCGATGGGGGAAGGATGGGAGGTGTAGTCCCAGGTCAGGGAAGCTGAGCCTGGGAATTTGAGGGGAGGGAGGGAGGGAGGGATGTGTCCATCTCAGGGTTGACCCTGGTGACCCCTTCTCACCTCTTGCTCCCCTTCTCCTCCTCCTCCAAGATCCACCCGCTGCTGCTCCGCGAACGCCAGAGGGACCCCACCCGCAGCAAGCTCCTGCGCCGCACGGTCAGCGTCCCAGTGGAGGGGCGCCCCCACCCCGAGCACGGTAGGGGGGCAATGGGAAGGGAAACTGGGGGATACTGGGAGGTGGGCCTCCTTGGAAGGAAGCAGGGGAGGAGGTCCTCTGACAATTTGGGAAGATCTGGAAGGCTCATGCATGCCGTATGTATCACAGCCACCCCATAGAATCTCTATGGGGGATCCCCAGGGACACCCAGCCTATCCTCTTTTGCAGGAAAGCACCATCTGAGCCCTCCCTACAGATGGCCACCCTGCCACTTTCATAGAATCATAGGTGTGGAAGAGACCCCACAGGACACCCAGAAGGACGGTCCACAGGGCTTTCCATGTCCCATTGTCCAAGAATTCTTCTTCCTGGCAGAAAGCTCTTCCTAATTTTTAGGTGGAACCATCTCCTGCAGTTTGAATCCAATTATTATTATTTACTAGCTTGGGGACCCAGCAGTGCCCGGATTATTTAGGAAAGTAATTGTTTGTTTGTGATCCAAGTTTAGTCTAGATCCAATGTCAGATGGGTTCCAGTGTAAGATGCGGGTGAACTACAACTCCCATATGCAAGTCCCATGGTCCAGCCTCCTCAAAACTGCACCAGGATGCATAGTGGGTCCTGGGGGCTCTATGTGCCAAATTTGGTTGTGATCAGTCATTGGTGTGGGTTGCAGCAGTCTCAGGAAGTGAGTGAAGGTACTGCAAATCCCATCATCCATAGTCCATCATTCCCCAAACCACGCCAGGACATAGAGTAGGTCATGGGGGCTCTGTGTACCAAGTTTTGTCACAATCTGTCAATGTGTGGGTCGCATGGTCTTAGGAATTGAGTGAAGGTACTGCAAGTCCCATCATCCATGGTTCATCCTTCACCAAACCGCACCAGGACATAGAGTGGGTTATGTGGGCTCTGTGTGCCAAGTTTCATCATGATCCATCATTGGTGGGGGTCGCAGTGGTCTCAGGAAGTGAGTGAAGGTACTGCAAGTCCCATCATCCATGGTCCATCCCCCACCAAACTTCACCAGGACATAGAGCAGGTCATGGGGGCTCTGTGTGCCAAGTTTCATCATGATCCGTCATTGGTGGGGATCGCAGTGGTCTCAGGAAGTGAGTGAAGGTACTGCAAGTCCCATCATCCATGGTCCATCCTCCGCCAAACCGCATCAGGATGTAAAGTCATGGGGGCTTTGTGTGCCAAGTGTGGCCTTGATCAGTCATTGGTGTGGGTCACAGTTTGGTCCAGTCCATCATTGGTGGGGGTTGCAGTGGCCTGTGAAAGTGGCAGCCAATCAGAAAGCTGCCACGTGCATACACCGTCCACCCACCCACCCTCCGCATACAGAGACTTTTATTATATACTAGCTTGGGGACCCGGCGCTGCCCGGGTAATTTGAGAAAGGCATTGTGTGCCAAAGTTGGTCTGTATCAGTCATTTATGTGGCTTGCAGTGCTCTCAGGAAGTTAGTGAAGGTACTGCAAGTCCCATTGTCCATGGTTCATCTGCCTCCAAACAGTACCAGGATGTAGAGTGGGTGATGGGGGTTCTGTGTGCCAAGTCTGGTCTTGATCAGTCATTGGATGAGGATCGTAGTGGTCTCAGGAAGTGGGTGAAGGTACTTCAAGTCCCATCATCCATGGTCCACCCCCCTCCTAACCGCACCAGGATGTAGAGTGGGTCATGAGGGCTCTGTGTGCCAAGTTTGGCCTTTATTGGTCTATGTTGGGGGCTGCAGTAGTCTGTGGGAACCGAAGGATGGGAAAGTACTACAAATCCCATCATCCATTGTCCATCCTCCCTAAACCTCACCAGGACATAAAGGGGGTCATGGGAGTTATGTGTGCCAAGTTTGGTCTTGATCAGTCATTGGATGAGGATCGCAACAGTCTCAGGAAGTGAGTGGAGGTACTTCAAGTCCCATCATCCATGGTCTGCCCTCCTCCAAACTGCAGTAGGATCTAGAGGGGGCCATGGGGGCTCTGTGTGCCAAGTTTGCTCTTGATCGGTCTTTGTTGGGAGCCAAAGTGGTCTGTGAGAACTCATGGGTTTGAAAGTACTACAAATCCCATCAACCTTTGTCCATCCTCCCCGAAACCTCACCAGGATGTAAAGGGGGTCATGGGGGTTATTTGTGCCAAGTTTGATCCAGGTCCGTCACTCATGCTGGTCACAATGGCCTGTGAAAGTGGGAGCCAACCAGAAGGCTCCCGTCCTTCCTCCACATACAAACACTGACTTTTATTATATACATAGATAGATTTTGATATCTATCTCTCCAAATTAAGGCTTTTCCAGTGCTTTTCGAGGCTTCTTGGAATGGTTTCTTCTTCTCCTCCTTCTCCTCCTTCTCCCTCCCCTGGCTTTTCTCTCCTCGGTGCAACCTCCTCTCTGCCTTCTCTTCTCCAGGGTGAACACCCCCCTCTCCCAAAGATGCTCCCCATTGGGATTCATGGCTTTTGGTGGTCCTCCCCTCTTCACTTTCCCTCTTGCTCACCTCCTGCTTGCCCAGAACGGGACACAGGGTGGTTATTCCAGGTGACCAGAGCAGACTTACGGACTTACTTAGGCGATCCCTCATTGTCCGAGCAGGATAATCCTCCAGGGTGGGTCCGTAGGTGGCTGTGGAGCCCTATTCTTGCTCTGCATCTTCTCCCACAGTGAGGGCATCAGTTTCTAGATGGAAAGCAGTCCTGGTCGGGGTTGGCTTGAAGCGACTTCCTCTTGGCACGTTTCTCTCTCTTTCGCCCTCCATTCGTGCCTCTTCAAATTCTGCAGCACTGCCGGTCACAGCTGACCTCCAGCTGGAGCGCTCAAGGGCCAGGGCTTCCCAGTTCTCAGTGTCTATGCCAGAGTTTTGAAGGTTGGCTTTGAGCCCGTCTTTCAATCTCTTTTCCTGCCCACCAACATTCCGTTTTCCGTTCTTAAGTTCGGAGTAGAGCAACTGCTTTGGGAGACGGCGGTCGGGCATCCGGACAACGTGGCCGGTCCAGTGGAGCTGATGGCAGAGGACCATCACTTTAATGCTGGTGGTCTTTGCTTCTTCCAGCATGCTGACATTTGTCCGCTTGTCTTCCCAAGAGATTTGCAGGATTTTCTGGAGGCAGCGCTGATGGAATCGTTCCAGGAGTTGCATGTGACGTCTGTAGACAGTCCACGTTTTGCAGGCATAGAGCAGGGTTGGGAGGACAATAGCTTTATAAACAAGCACCTTGGTATCCCTACGGATGTCCCGGTCCTCAAACACTCTCTGCTTCATTTGGAAAAATGCTGCACTCGCAGAGCTCAGGCGGTGTTGTATTTCAGTGTCAATGTTGACTTTGTGACAGTCCATGTTTCTCAGGCATATAGCAGGGTTGGGAGGATAATAGCTTTATAAACAGGCACCTTGGTATCCCTACAGATGTCCTGGTCCTCAAACACTCTCTGCTTCATTCAGAAAGAAAGCTGCACTTGCAGAGCTCAAGCAGTGTTGTATTTCAGTGTCAATTTTGACATCTGTAGACAGTCCACGTCTCTCAGGCGTATAGCAGGGTTGGGAGGACAATAGCTTTATAGGCAAGCCCCTTGGTCTCCCTACGGATGTCCCGGTCCTCAAACACTCTCTGCTTCATTTGGAAAAATGCTGCACTTGCAGAGCTCAAGCAGTGTTGTATTTCAGTATCAATTTTGACATCTGTAGACAGTCCACGTCTCTCAGGCGTATAGCAGGGTTGGGAGGACAATAGCTTTATAGGCAAGCCCCTTGGTCTCCCTACGGATGTCCCGGTCCTCAAACACTCTCTGCTTCATTCAGAAGAATGCTGCACTTGCAGAGCTCAAGCAGTGTTGTATTTCAGTGTCAATTTTGACATCTGTAGACAGTCCACGTCTCTCAGGCGTATAGCAGGGTTGGGAGGACAATAGCTTTATAGGCAAGCCCCTTGGTCTCCCTACGGATGTCCCGGTCCTCAAACACTCTCTGCTTCATTTGGAAAAATGCTGCACTTGCAGAGCTCAAGCAGTGTTGTATTTCAGTATCAATTTTGACATCTGTAGACAGTCCACGTCTCTCAGGCGTATAGCAGGGTTGGGAGGACAATAGCTTTATAGGCAAGCCCCTTGGTCTCCCTACGGATGTCCCGGTCCTCAAACACTCTCTGCTTCATTTGGAAAAATACTTCACTTGCAGAGCTCAAGCAGTGTTGTATTTCAGTGTCAATGTTGCTATCTGTAGACAGTCCACGTCTCTCAGGCGTATAGCAGGGTTGGGAGGACAATAGCTTTATAGGCAAGCCTCTTGGTCTCCCTACGGATGTCCCGGTCCTCAAACACTCTCTGCTTCATTCAGAAGAATGCTGCACTTGCAGAGCTCAAGCAGTGTTGTATTTCAGTGTCAATTTTGACATCTGTAGACAGTCCACGTCTCTCAGGCGTATAGCAGGGTTGGGAGGACAATAGCTTTATAGGCAAGCCCCTTGGTCTCCCTACGGATGTCCCGGTCCTCAAACACTCTCTGCTTCATTTGGAAAAATGCTGCACTTGCAGAGCTCAAGCAGTGTTGTATTTCAGTATCAATTTTGACATCTGTAGACAGTCCACGTCTCTCAGGCGTATAGCAGGGTTGGGAGGACAATAGCTTTATAGGCAAGCCCCTTGGTCTCCCTACGGATGTCCCGGTCCTCAAACACTCTCTGCTTCATTTGGAAAAATACTTCACTTGCAGAGCTCAAGCAGTGTTGTATTTCAGTGTCAATGTTGCCATCTGTAGACAGTCCACGTCTCTCAGGCGTATAGCAGGGTTGGGAGGACAATAGCTTTATAGGCAAGCCCCTTGGTCTCCCTACGGATGTCCCGGTCCTCAAACACTCTCTGCTTCATTTGGAAAAATACTTCACTTGCAGAGCTCAAGCAGTGTTGTATTTCAGTGTCAATGTTGCTATCTGTAGACAGTCCACGTCTCTCAGGCGTATAGCAGGGTTGGGAGGACAATAGCTTTATAAAAGCCCCTTGGTCTCCCTACGGATGTCCCGGTCCTCAAACACTCTCTGCTTCATTCA